GCATCCCTCCATGAATATGCCTCCCCAGACCATCACTGACCCACCACCAAAACTGTCATGCTGAATGATGTTACAGGCAGCATAACGTTCTCCATGGCTTCTCCAGACCCTTTCACGTCTGTCACATGTGCTCAGGATGAACCTGCTTTCATCTGTGAAAAGCACAGGGCGCCAGTGGCAGACCTGCCAATTCTGGTGTTCAATGGCAAATCCCAATCGAGCTCTATGGTGCCGAGCAGTGAGCACAGGGCCCACTAGAGGACATTGGACCCTCATGCCACCCTCAAAGTCTGTTTCTGATTGTTTGGTCAGAGACATTCACACCAGTGGCCTGCTGGATGTCATTTTGTAGGGCTCTGGCAGTGCTCATCCTGTTCCTCCTTGCACAAAAAAGCAGATACTGGTCCTGCTGATGGGTTAAGGACCTTCTACGGCCCTGTCCAGCTCTCCTAGAGTAACTGCCTGTCTCCTGGAATCTCCTCCATGCTCTTGAGACTGTGCTGGGAGACACAGAAAACCTTCTGGCAATGGCCTCATGCTACCAGTAGTGATACTGACCCTAGCCAAATGCAAAACTAGTGAAAAACAGTCAGAAAAGATGAATAGGGAAAAAAATGTCAGCAGCCTCCACCTGTAAAACCATTCCTGTTTTGGGGGTTGTCTCATTGTGTCCCATCCTAGTGCACCTGTTTTTAATTTCATTAACACCAAAGCAGCTAAAACTGATTAACAACCCCCTCTGCTACTTAACTGTCCAGATCAATATCCCAGGAGTTTAATTGACTTGATGCTATACTCTGATTAAAAAGTGTTCCTTTAATTTTTTGGAGCAGTGTATTTATGCTGAATGCCTGGTATCAGGGTATAGTGCCTAGGTGCTGTTCTTTGCTAACTGCTTCACCTTAAGTGCAGATTTCTTGTTAAGTTTATTCCTTTCTACCAGCTGCACATTACACAGAGAAGATGGAGCTTTGCAGTCACGTAAATCACATAGAAAACAAGTATTTTAATACACTGTATTTTCCCTTTAAAATAACATTAAAACAATAAAGTAGATGTTTCACTGGCATAATACAGTTTGGACATGAATTCAGCACAACAGATTGCAGTTTACCTTGACTATGGTGTCAAATATAAATATGAGCTATGCTTGATGTAATGCTTTATTTTGATGTAAAAATAATGAAAATGATTTTAGGATGTTTTTCACTAAATTCAAAATATTTTTCAATGAACATCAAGAAAGCAAAATGATAACCCCAGCAAGCAATCACATTTCATGAATTAAGCACAGGAAGCATTGATGCTTTGGCCTGCAGGCTGTCATTAGAAGGCCCGGTCCACCCAAATATTGCTATTATTATTCTCATAATATATGCATAAAATGAGGATTGTGTTGTTAGGAAAATTGTGTTTTCTACATACTTTTCGCAATCTCATTTTCATAGAATATAATAATACATTTAATATAATAAAGCATACCAAATAAAGTAAAACACCTATGGTCATGAAAGACAACTCTGACAACTCAGCAAATCAAAAGTGATCAAAAACTGATATGTTACTGTTTATTTCACAAGCCTTTTTTTTAATCCTGCCTTTAAAAAAATGAAAATTAGCAGTGCTGGTCAATCCTTTACTGGCCCCATACTCTGAGTAAATAGATACGAAACACATCACCAGGGGTGGACTGACCATTTGGAAACTCGGGCACTGCCCGAGGGCCCGGGGTCAGTAGGGGGCCCCATGAGATGCCCCTGGTACCTTTTTCATAGGCTTTTTTGAGTTTGGGCAAGGACACAGGGGCCCCATGATCCCCTATTGCCCGGGGGCCCCATGAGTTGTCAGTCCGCCCCTGCACGTCACGCTTTAAAATTGTGCACGCCTGTGCAACGGAGACAAACAATGCAAATTTTACTATCCATAGGCAATGCTTTATAAGCTTTTAGAGCTTACCACTTTAGATTTACAGAGGAGGTCTGGTGCTAGAATTACTGCCCACGAATTGATGTTCGTGGTGATACTTCACCACGGCGGGACCTAAGCATGTGTTTGTTTTTGCGTGCAAGCGCAGGGGGATGGGGGCACTTAAGTTTTTTTCTTTTTCTACATTGTGCCTTCAAAGAAAAACATTTTTTTTGTTCACTTTTGTTGCTGAAACAAAGAATGTAAATGTCCCTTGTGACGGCAATAGCCCTGTGACTCTTTATGGAGGAATCTGGGGTCAATAAGACCCCAAATATCTCCCCTACCTTAAAAGCATTCAAACATTCAAACATCAAGATCGGGTGTGATTGAATGATTTTATTTTTTAAAAATGGCGCTGTGTAAACCGGAAGTGATGATCAGTTCCACGATACTATTTAACAGAGCTTAACAAAACCAGTCTGGTCTTTGTTTGGCTCTGACCAGCTAGAGGTAGCGCCTGCTGGTTGATCAGGACTCCTGGTAGGACAGGAGATCCCATTAAAGCAACAGGAAGGCAGAGAGCCGACTGTCAGCTCTAAAAAACGGTACTGGAATGATACAAAAAACAATGGAGAACCACCTGCGCTACCCTGAATACACTATTATTCTAGGAATGGGTTGCCGCTGGCACCTGGCTATACACCTGGATAGAACTGGATCAAAATTATAACAAAATTAGTGCTGCGCTCCCACACTTATATAAATAATAAAAAAAAAAAAAGAGGTTTTAATTACACCCCTAGTGAATCCTCCTGTGTGTAATTATCCCAAACTCAATTCTTCATATTATTATACAATTGTATGCAGTGATGTTTGATAAACCATATGAAATAAAATAATGTGCAAAACGCATAAAAACACAATACATAAACCCACCTGTGTCCCTAAACAGGGTGAAATTACAAACATGTATTAAACCACACATGATAAAACACTTGGCATAAATAAATGCCCAAAGGTGCTGTTGAAATAGAGTGACAAATGGCACTATTGTGCCTATAAAACAAACAATAGGACAGTCAGGATAAATGGACCCTGACTATAAACAATCTACAAGGACTATAACAAATCCTTCAGCATAAATGTGCTACCACCACTCAACAAGTGCCCACATATACCAAAGTATAAATTGCTGTGCTCTCATATCTAAACTTGGGACTATACTGCTATATAAATAGCAGGAAGAAAAAAAAAATAATAACAACAAATAAATAAATAAAAATAATTTTAAATAATTTAAGTGGCTAAGCAGCAGGAAGAAGACAGGGCAGGACAGGGCAACCCTGCAGTAAAGATTACTACAGAAACCAGCAGCCCATCCTTCATTACAGGTATGTAATGTAACTAAAGCTATAGAGAAAAACATGTTTTCCTGGTGCCCACATGGCAGCATACAGGTATGCTGCCATGGATGGGCAACAGGGAAAGAAATTTACGGTAAGTATTTGATACAATTTTCTGTTTTCCTGGTGCTCACATGGCACCATAACTGTATGCTGCTATGGATGGACACCAGAAAAGGAAAATTACAGGAAGAATGTGATACAATTTTTTGTTTTTTAGCTGAACTTCAGCCTAAGGTTCACATCTAGTGATTTGGGATTGTGGGTGGAATTGCTGTGATTCTGCCTGCAATTCCAAATCGCACTGAGGTGCTGGCAAAATGCAGCACGTGTATTCCGGTGCTATCCATTACCAAGAACACCTAAACGCTGTGCGGTTTTAATCGCACTATACTCACTGCAAACTGCATCATGCAAAGCTTGTTGCCCAAAAAGAAGCTTAGACTGTTTTGCGCGTAAAGCTTTGCACAATGTGGTTTGATACGACTACAGCGCGCATACCCATTTCTACACATTTAAGCGCATCTATGCGCAAGCATATAACTGATCAGTACTTAGGAACTTTTCTCCTAAAAATACTTGTGTAATAACCAGGGGCGGACTGACAACTCATGGGGCCCCCGAGCAATAGGGGATCATGGTGCCCCTGTGTCCTTGCCCACACTCAAAGCACACCAAAAAAAGCCTATAAAAAAGGTACCAGGGGCATTTCATGGGGCCCCCTACTGACCCCAGGCCCTCGGGCAGTGCCCGAGTGCTCGAATGGTCAGTTCGCCCCTGGTAATAACATCATGAACATTTTTATGGCCGTGTTAATGAGCTGAAGGCTTCATACACATGGCAGTAATAACATTACTGATCATAAATGCGGAATCTTGCTGGCAGAAAGTATGTCTGTATAGTACATGGCATGTAAACATATATATATATATATATATATATATAACATAGAACGTGTATATATATATATATATATATATATGAAAACACTGTTTTATTTACAGTCATGTGTCTGCGGTCTAAGTGATATGCATCATTTTTAGCAGCCATATTTTTTCTACCCGCTGTTTATTGTGCATTTTGGGACAACTGTAAAAACAAACTTACTTTTTTTTAATGAAATATCCATTTATGGCTACTTTGACACTGATCCATTTTTACTGCGTTTGCGGCGCATTTTTTACAGAACATTTGACTCAAAAGCCACGGCAAAAATGCCCTGTTTTTCATTGATTTCAATGGGGAGGTGTGTTTCTGGTGCTGTTTTTTTTTTTACTGCACCAAACATGCAGCAAGGAATTTAAAAAAACGCATCGACCTGCAATGGATTAGCATGAAGAGTTCCATAGGATTTCATGGTCATGCGTTTTGCTTCTGCTTTTTTTAACTGCTTCCCCGCCGCCCTATTGCAGAACTACTGTTACAGGGTGGTAGGACTGCGCAAAATCATGTATACAGATTTTGCATTTACCAGTAGGGGGCCCGCACCGCTCTACCCGCAATTGGCGGCTACAGCTGTCGATCACCGGGTCCTGGCTGGAGATTCCCCGCCGGCACCCAGCGATCACCAAGGAACAGTGAAAGGGGAGAGGTCTGTGTGTAAACAACCCAGATCTCTCCACTGTCAGCATAAGCAGGCTGCTTTGTATTGCTCTGCACAGCAGAGCAATACAAAGCATCATGTCTCACATGTTAAACACAACACAGCACACAGTTAACCCTTTGATCACCCCAGATGTTAACCCCTTCCTGCCCAGTGGCATTAGTACAGTGTCATTGCTTTTTATTAGCACTGGTCATTGTATTAGTGTCACCGGAGATGTCAGTGGCAGTTAGTCAGTTCCCACCCAGTGTCAGAATGCTCGCCACAGTATCGCAGTCCCACTATAAGTCGCTGATCGCCGCCATTACTAGTAAAAAAACCACAAAAACAAAAAATCCAGTATATATACTGCCATTTGTAAATGCAGTTGCTGGTTATCGGCTGCACTTTCCTCACGCTGTCACAGTGTGAGGAAAGTACTGCCGATAACCGGCAATTGTCAGAGGAGGGATCGGCACTGATCATCAGGGCACTGATGATCAGCGCCCTGATGATCAGTGCCCTGCAGTGCCACCCACCGGTGCTGGCCAGAAGTGCTCAGCAGTGCCGCCCACAAGTGCCCAGCAGTGCCACCCACCTGTGCCCAACAGTGCCACCAGTCAGTGCCACCCATCAGTGCCCATCATTGTGGCATATCAGTGCAGCCTCATCAACGCACATCAGTAAAGGAAAAAAATGACCTGTTTGCAACATTTTATAATAGAAACAAAGAAAAAAAATTTTTTTTCAATATTTTTGCTCTTTTTTTGTTTATAGCGCAAAAAACACCCAGCAGCGAGTGCATACCACCAAAGGAAAGCTCTATTTGTGTGAAAAAAATTATAATAGTTTCATATGGGTGCAGTGTTGCATGACAGCGCAATTGTCACTCAAAGTGCAACAATGCTGAAAGCTGAAAATTGGCCTGGGCAGGAAGGGGGTATAAGTGCCCAGTAGGCAAGTGGTTAAAGCAAAAGCAGAAGTAAAACGGTTCATTGTGAAAGCAGTGTGAAATGACCTGCGGTGGTTGGCCACAAGATCAGATCTTTTTGCTAAATATGTTGGTATTAGGCTCCATGTACACGGGACGTTTGGAAAACACTTATGAACGATGGAAACTGACTGCTGGAAAACGTAGGTTAAAAAAATTCTGTTTAGCCGCATTTGCAGATCGTGTTTATGAGCGTTTGCGTTTAGAAGCGTTTTTTAAAGATAACCTCAGGAGACCTTCCAAAATGCCCAGAATGCACTGAAAACAGTAAAAAATTAACTATTTCAGACATTTTGAGAGAAATAGAGAGAGCAGAAGCAGAGAGAGCAGTATGGGTTGAGGTTACCTATCATTTCTGGTTGTATTCACTATGGCAGGGCTTGAAATTTCCACTCTCCTGCTCGCCAATGGCAAGTGGAAATTATGGTGGGAGCGAGTGTGTCCCCCAGGGCCATCTTGCTGAGCAGGCTCGGAGCTCAGGCCGGATCATTGGCACTGGGAGCCGTCAGACTACTCAATAGCTGAGCGCAGTGAAAGCAAAGCAAGGAGTGTGCTGTGCTCTCTGCCTCCACCTAGAGTGCAGTACCCAGATCTGTGAGTGAACAACGAAGTACTGTAACTTTTTATGGGGGGGGTGTACATGTGTTTGTGTGTGTCTGTGTATGCATGTACAATTGTACATGTGTCCGTGTGTATGTACATGTGTGTATCTGTACTTGTGTCTGTGTGTATGTACATGTATGTGTGTGTGTACATGTGTCTGTGTATGTATGTACATGTGTCTGTGTATGTATGTACATGTGTCTGTGTATGTATGTACATGTGTCTGTGCATGTGTATTTCTGTGTATGTACATGTATCTGTGTGTGTGTATGCGTGTCTGTACGGTACGTGCCTGTTTGTGTATACATGTGTGTGTACATGTGTCTCTGTGCGTGTGTGTACATGTTTCTCTGTGTATGTACAAGTCTGTGTGTGTACAGGTGTCTCTGTGTGTGTTTGTTGGTGGCGAGTAACTCCAAGGCCTGGCAGTAGCTCAGGACTTGAAATTTTAAGCCCTGCACTATGGATCCCATCATGAGCATAATGCAGCACGTTCTACCATTTTTTCCATCACGCAAAACCTGGAACTGACTGCGCTGGTGTACTAGGTCCATTTGAATACATGGAAAACACTTTGCATGCATTTCTGATGATCATTTTGTAAAGCGCTACGTAAACTTTTGGCGCTACATAAATCCTGTATAATAATAATAATAATGAAAAAAAAAAAAAGGCTCTGGACAGCATTTGGATATGGAACATTTAAAAAACGCTTCTAAACGCAAGGGCTTTACATGTGTTTACAAGCATTTGGTGTTTGAAACTCTGATAAAATCTACTCCTGAACGCAAGTTTGGTGCGTTCAAAAAAACGACTGTAAACTCAACGCCTGTAAATGACTATGTGTACATGGACACATAGGAAAACATTAGGGTGCATTCAAGGGCTGCTGAAAAAAAACCGCTGAACAGCTCCTAAATGTGAGTTTATCAGCTGCAGTGTACATGAATCCTAAAATGGTGTCCCCTCTCCCATGTAAAAGGTATGATGTTATGTTTACAAAAAAAAAAAAGTAACAATAAGTTTTAGTATTTTTCCCAGGAAGTAGGTACAGGTGGAAATCTGCCTGAATTACTAAGCAAACCTTGTGTCGTTTGAAGCTGTACACTTCCCAGATCATGAATCAGCTGAAAAGGACTGACTTCCAGCTGCTGTGTCTGGGAACCTTCCTCTATATACAGCACATTGTCCAATACAAGGGAAGAGATCGCAGGGCTGTGCATGGACACCCCCCTATTATCACCATTCTGCATCTGCAAGCACATGACACTCACTAGATTCTGAAGGTGAGACAGTGTTCAGTTTATTTACACATACTCATCATATTTCATGTCACAGTTTAATCGCCTAAAGCCATCCATGAGTCAATACAGCCAGTGACATCACACTGGTGACCTTGTGCAGTGTAAACATGAGGCATCATGGGAATTGTAGTATACAGCACTTCCTCTTCCTGATGTGTGTCTCATAACAAGGAAGGGTGTGCTGTCTGCATGGTGCACTAATCCCTATCAGAGAAGTTTCATCAGGATAACACAAGTATCTACAGCTGGCACTTTGGTACGTAGAAAGTTCTGTGTCTGAAATGCTGCTAACGTGTGTGTGTAAACATCTCATGATTGCTGTTCTCTCAGATCCTTCCTGCAGGTCGCACGGTCTCTCTCTGGGTCATGTGAGCTGAAGTTGGCAAGATTTACTAACAAAGGTAGGTAGTCTGCTGAAAATAAATACAATAGTGTCATACAACACAAAAATCTGTCCAGCAGTGTGGGTGTTGGAAAAAGATGTCTGTAATATATAACGTTGGGACTCGTTCACACTAGCTGAGACCCACGATTTTCTGCATTAGAAAATTGCTGCTCTCTGCAAAGGCACAGAAAACAATTGGTTTCTACTGTGTGTGCCCTGGTCACACATGAACGCAATGTAGGGTTGCCACCTCATCCCTTTAAAAACCCAAACACATATTAACTACACAGGTTCTGTGGCTGATTAGGGTGGTAATTAACAATTTTCCCATTGCCCTATAGCAGAAATACTGCTACAGGATGGCAGGGGTGCAAAAAAAATCACATATATTTGTGAGTTTGCATTTCCGGGTAGGGGGCATGCACCCTACCCGTGCCACCATTGGCGGCCTCACCTGTCAATCGCCAGGTCCCGTTAGGTGATAACCCACCTGGCAATCACCGTGTATCACCGATGGGGGAGAGACCTGTATGCAAACAATACAGATCTCTCCCTTGTTAGCTCCTGCACACTGCTTTGTATGGCTCTGCATAGCAGAGCCATACAAAGCAATGTGCTTACAATGTAAAGCACACAGTTAACTCTGATTGCTCCAGATGTTAACCCCTTCCTGCCCAGTGCCATTAACACAGTGTCCGTGCTTATTGATAGCACAGATCACTGTAATAGTGTCACTGAGGATGTCAGTGACAGTCGGTTCCCCCTTAGTGTCAGAATGCCTCCCGCAGTCCTGGTATAAATCGCTGATTGCCGCTATTGCTAGTATTAAAAAAAAAAAAAATATATATATATATATATATATATATATATATATATACACACACACACCGCCATTTGTATATGCTATAACTTTCACGTAAACCAATTAATTTACACGTATTGAGATTTTTTTTTTAGCAAAGACATGTAGCAGAATACATTTTGGCCTAAATTTATGACGACATTTGTTTTTTTACTGGACATTAATAGCAAAAAGTCAAAAAATATTGTTTTTATAATGCAAAAATAAAAAACACAGAGGCGATCAAATACCACGGAAAGTGAAAAAAAAAAGGACAAATTTCATTTGGGTGCAGCGTTGCATGACTGCGCAATTGTCAGTTAAAGTAACACAGTGCCGTATCGCAACAAATGGCCTGGTCAGTTAAGGGGGGTAAATCCTCTGGTTAAACTCACTTAGTGCCTTATCTGCATTAAAGCAATTTAAAAGCGTCACATACTTTTATTTTTTTTTTTTTTTGGAAAAAAAAAAAACATGTTATACTTCCCTGCTGTGTGCAGTGGTTTTGCACAGAGCAGCTCTGATACTCTTCTTCTCGGGTCCCCCACAGGCTCTCCGGTCCCATCACTCCTGTCGGGTGCTCCCACAGTAAGCAGCTTGCTATGGGGGCACCTGCTGCTTTGTGTGTCCATTCACATACAAAGCTTGGCCCTTCCCCCTCTCTCTCATTGGCTGACTGGCTGATATTGACAGCAAGCGGGAGCCAATGGCTCCCGCTTGCTGTCTCAGCCAATGAGGAGGCAGAGACCCAGAACAGCCGAGGCTGTCATTCACATTGCTGGATCGTGATGAGGCTCGGGTAAGTATTGAGGGAGCTGGGAGCACTGCTGCACACAGAAGGTTTAAAGGATCAGTTCACCTTTCTACAAAAAATATTAAATGCACATTTTTTGCAGGTAAAAAAATGTGTATTTATTTTTTCTTGTTTCTGGAGCCTCTAAAGCATTGCACCAGCGATCAGCAGATCATTGGTGCCATGCAAGTCTCGTGCATACCTGTCAGTATATCTGCTTGCCCGTACAGGATGTATGGGCAAACAGATATGCTGGCCAGAAGAATCAATGAACAACCACAGTGCTCCACAGCGCCTGGTAGTTTAATGAGAACTACAATCCAACAGCTGCTAAGGCTGTCGGGACTTGTAGTTCATTCATGCATGAGGAGAAGATGCACCACTAGCTGTC